CAGTATCTCAGAGCCTTCAACTCTGTTTAATTTTGTTTAGTTTTAAATGACTGGAGCTTGTGCTATTGGGGATAATAGGACTGGTGTATTCTAAGCACTTATTTATAATTGGGGAAGGCATAGCATGGCCTTCAGAAATATGTGCAAATCAAATCTTGGGTTTAGGAAATTGTGTGTTAGATGCAAAAAGCCTCAGCAATAGTTCTGGTTTGTCCTGTGTAGAGGCGGACATCAACCCTCCCAGCTCTGAGTCCTGTATAGGCATGTGTCCCAACTTTCAATTCAGTGTCTGGCATGTAGGAGACATGTCATAAGTATTTCATGAATAAAAATAATTAAATCTTTATTATAGTACTGTCACATCTCAATGATCATCAAGGGGAAATTGAAAGGAGATTATGCTAGAAGAGCATCTATGAATTCCTCTGAACTATGCTCAATAATATGCAAAATCATTCGTAATTATCACCCCAACTCTTTTCTTTGTTGAGAGTATGCTTGTCACACTGGGAGTGGGTTAAACACCAGGGTATGTGTTCTCTCTGAACCTGCAAATATTCTGACAAGAGTCTCCTGGCCAGTACGTAGTTTTATAATCTATGTTTGAAACAACCTGCATCTGAAAATCTCTTCTACAGTTAGAAAAAGATTAGATTTACTACTTGCCTGTAATGACATGGCAACATAAAAAGCAGTCTCTTTTATTAGTAGCTAAGATTAATTTTACTCATATCAACTAGTATATAGATTTTTTTTTCCTATGGACAAAAATATTCAGCCGAAGGGAACCAGCAGTTAGCGTAATGGCTATGTCGCTGGACTCCCACGTAGTCGACCGCGGTTCGTGTCCCGGACCCGGTGGCTTAAAGCTCACGTCGGGTGCGTGTGCGTGCGTGCCCAAGATCCCGAGAGGAGAATGGAAGAGAAGGGATTGCGGCGTGACCATCACCCCTGGGGGGTGATTTCTCCCTTTCTGTCACTATGTCTCTCTCTGTCTGTCTGGCGAGCGCACGCCAGAACAAAATGCAAAATTACTTGTATTCCAGATCAGAATACCCTTCATAAAAAATGAAGACTGAACAAAAACCAACTTTAAAAAAAAAAAGATGACATACAACATTCCCATTGCTATCCTTGTTTCATCCTCCTTAAAAACTATAAAATCTCAGAATGTTAGATTTTAGACTTACTTTACTTAGGTTCAAATATTATGTATTCTATCATTTTTTATATAAAACTTTTATTAAAGCAAGAGATAGGTAGATTTACATTGCATGCATCCTTCATATTTTGCCTATATGACAAATATCTCTAATGTGAAGTAAAACTTTGTAGGAAGGTATAACTACAATTTTGTTGCTTGCGAGATTGTATTTCTATCCAAATTGTATTATTTTCCTATGTGTCCTTAGAAGTATTTAAAAATTAAATTAAAAATTAGGTTAGAATATTATGCAATATGTAATTTTTCAATAAATCTTTTATTTTTTTCTTACTAAAGCAAGGGTAAGGCAGCCAGATCCCACAAAGCTCACTACGTGGTTTGAGTCTCAGATCCGGAGCTTGACAAATATGCTGGGTGTGTGTATGTGCATGTCCAAAATCGCAGAAGGAGAGAGAGATGAAAGCGTACTTTCTCTCCCTCTTTTCCTCTCTCTCTCTAAAGAGTGAGCATGCATGTCCTCTGACAAATAAATAAATAAAAATAACACCTACTCCATGAGGTGGCTGTTATTATGCATCGTTTTGCACTTTGCTAATGGGGAAATGAATACCCAGAAACTAAGGCATCCTGTCCATTCTGACAAGGACAGAAAGAGAACAAGCCCATGTCTGTTCCTTTTGCTCTTGGCTGTGTGCTCTCAATGGCTTGGTTATGCTACTGGGTGTTAAAAGCTCTGTGTTTTGAGTGTGGACTCAGCAATGGGTAAAGCAGAGTCTCTACCTTCAACAAAACAAATGACAATGCAAAACGTAAATAAGTACAGAATTCCGGGTGTTGACTTAAACACCTCTGTTTCCCAGAGGGAGTACTCACATTTTTATGGTATGGTGATAGGTGGCTTCAAACTAAAATAGCAGATAAGTCTTTCCTAATGATGTATGGCATTGTAAATAAGCAAAAATTTAAGGGAAACATGCAGATAGAAAAGTAAACATCATGATTATGATAGAGAAGGATGGGTAGTTAAGTGTAGTTAGCATGATTGGTATGTACGTATTGCTTTTTGTCATGCAACATCTATAAAATACAACTTTTTTTTTTTAAAGAGATTTTTGCTATAGGGTGTGTGCACTTGCTGGAGAGACATGAAGCAAAAGAGAGACAGAAAGAGAGAAATCACAACCTCCCCCACAAGGGGGGCCACGCCGCAATCCTTTCTCATCCATTCTCCTATCAGGATCTTGAGCATGCATGCAAAAGAATCTGGCCTGAGAGTTTTAAGTTGGCAAGTCTTGGACTCGAACAGTGGTTGACTTTGTGGATGTTTAGCAATGTAACCATTATGCCGTCTGCTCATCCCCAAGTAAAACTGTTATTAATCCATGACTTAGCCCCTATTAAATTAAACTGTGTTATTCATTTAGCTAAAGTTAGATACAGAAGATATCTGATTAATGGACTCTTTTTTCTTTTTTTCTTTTTGGACAGGTTTTTGCTATAGGGACATGCGCTTGCCAAGAAAGAGAAAGATGGAGAGACAGCAAGCAAGAAATTACCCCCAGGGGGGATGACCATGACATAATTCCTTCTTCTTTATTCTCCTCTTGGTATCTTGGGCACGCTTGCACTCCTAGTGTGAGTTTAAGCCACCAGGTCCAGGACCAGAACTGCAGTCCATTGCATGAGAGTCCAGTGCTGTAGCCATTATGCCACCTGCTGGTTCCAATTAATGCACTCTTAAGAGCAAGCTTAAAAAGATTTTTTTCTGACAGTATAACCACAACCAGTTTTTGTTAGTGTGTGTTTAATTTTTTTAAAGGTAATTTCTAGCTGTTGCCCTTTACTTGTCTAACCCTCTTAGCTGAGACTACAGGCATGTGCCGCTGTGCTATGGCTTTGTTTTAGACATGAACTCACCACATTGCCCAGGCCAGCCTCCAGCTCAAGGTCCTCCTGACCCACCCTTTCTGAGTTGCTGGAAAAGCAGGTCCACACCACCATGCTCTGCCTTTAGGTTGAAATGGAAATAGAATCTGAGCCTCTCATGTCACAGTCTACAGAACAGAGTGCCTAAGCATGTGCATCTACAGTTTCAAGTAGAGAAGATCAATTAAAATAATATTTTAGAAATGTCATTCTAACTGTGGTGTCTATGAGGAAGAGAGACAATGTGACCAATAAGAAGCTACTGCAAAAATGTGTCTTTGAAATAAAAACCATTAACAAAAACAAAGATTAGATCTAGAAAGAATGAAAAAAATAAAACTGTCATTATTTGTTTGTGTAATTATAATCTCTTAGATTCTAATAAGAATATATTCTTATGCAAGTACCAAAAAAAAAAAATCTCAGGATGTTTCTGAACTAATTGGTTAGTCAACTTTCTAAATAATTAGAAGTGAGAAAATGAATGTGAATGGAAGAGCTAAGGCTCTGCATTACCAAAAATAAATCCAAGTTAAATGATATGCATATATATATATATTTTTTTTTTTTTTTTTGGAGAGATTTTTACTATAGCGCACATGCACTCACCAGAAAGACAGAGAGACAGAAAGTGAGAAATCACCCCCCAGGGGGGATGGCCACTCCACAATCGCTTCTTCTCCATTCTCCTCTAGGGATCTTGGGCAAGCACGCACATGCGCCCTGTGTAAATTTAAACCACTGGTTCCGGGACTCGAACCATGGTTGACTATATGGGAATCCAGCAACATAGCCATTATGCCAACTGCTGGTTCCTGTAAATAATATTTCAAGAGTAAATATTGCTAATTCACAAAAATTATTATCCTCTTTTAATTCTTGCTATTATATCTACTTTTTTCAACTTGCCAACAAATAACAGAAAGATTTTCTGTCATTCCTTTTTTTCCCATCAATTTGCCAGAGGGCACACAGACATTGTACTCACCAGAGATAGATGGAGATGGAGAAAGCAGTCCCCAGGGGGCATGGCCGCACAGCAATCCCTCCTCCATTTCTCCATTCTGTATGGGTTTTGGGTGCCCAACTGTGTTTTCAAGGTAGGGCCCAGGACTTTAACTGGGTAGTCAGCCATGTGGGAACTGGCCCCCATAAACACAAAGCCATGAACTAGCCTAGATTTTCTTTTAATAGATTTTAGCTCTCTTATATTTAAGATGCTGAAAAAATAAAATTACTGTGTACAATGTGAGTTACAGAATAATAGATAATGGCCCAGACCAGTGGCATAATTCATGGGAAAATGAAGTACAGTGCTGGAAGCCAGATGCCTGACTTCAGGTTCAGATAGATGCCCCCAGGTTGGCAGGAAAACATGCTGGGTACATGTGTGTGCACATGCTAAGATCCTAATGAATTGTAGAGCCTGGGAAAGGGGATCACAGCATGATAAGACCTTGTCCAGAGTAATTTATTCTCTTTCTCTCTCTTTTTCTCTTTCTTTCACTCTTTCAGGCATGTGCATGTGTTATCATTCATGAATAAAATAAGTAAACTTTAAAAAATTAGAATATAACTCACTAAGAAGCTTAAAGGTATGCTATTTTCTTTACTAATGAACAGCTACCAAAGAAAGGTCAAAGTGATAATAATGTCTTTGCTAGTGTTGAAGTGGCAAACGCTGTGTACACATGTAGAATAAAGGTGAATGAAAATCAGGCAGCAAGAGATCAGATGTGAAATTAATGATCTCATCAACAATACCTTCAACCTAAGTAATTGTACTTGATAGATAAATGTATGTGTGTTGGTGTGTGCTTTGTATGGTAAGAGAAAAACAAAGACCAATATTTGTTGTTAAATTTACCAGTCAGTGCTACTTGGTAAAACCACTTCATATCCTGCACAGGTATGACATCAAAGATGATTACACACTAAGAATTAAAAAGGCCATGAGTACAGATGAAGGCACCTACATGTGTATTGCTGAGAATCGAGTTGGAAAAGTGGAAGCCTCAGCTACCCTCACAGTCCGAGGTAAGAGATTTAAGATGCTGAATGCACTTGGCTAAAATGGAAAATGAACTCACTAGTAGTAGATTGCAATGATAATTTATTCCAAAATATATAGATTTTTTTGTCCTTTCTCCTATTCATTGAAATGAAATTACTTCAAATTTGGGGTACCTAGTGATGATCATTTAAAAGCATTAATTTATGTTTAAACCATAGAAGCTAGTGTTCAGTAAAGTCTGAGAAATTTATGTTTAAAGTTTAAGAAATGTATATGTTTAAGAATACATTTTTAAAACATAAAATATCTATACAACTCTTGTACGCTTCCTTTGCTTTGTACTATTTACATCTCTTAGATGGAGTCAGTTTCAAAGGCATACTCATATTTTCTGTCCACTAATTTGTCACTATACTAGTCCAGGACTACCTTGAAAGTCTTTTCCACTTCAGCACTGAAAAAAGAAATCCAAAAAAAGCCAACAATGCTTCCAAAGATGAAAAATTAATACTGGAGAAGAACTCTGGCATTGAGATAATCTGATTTAGAGAGTGATTTGTGAAGTTCATTGGCCTTAAATAATTGAAATAGTCAGTGCCGCTCTTGTAATAACTTTCTCTTTCTGGGTGTCATGCACTTTCTCAGTCATGGAATAATGTGCATTTATGGACTCACTGGAATTGCTTATAAATGAAAAAAAGCATTGCTTAACTCTACAGTGCACTAGAATGAATTAACTGTCTCCCTGGTGGAACATGTTGATCACATGAGGTAAATTACATAATCTAAGCTACCAACTAGTACCACGAAGGCTGCGACACTTACTCGTACCGAAGAGACATCACTCAAGACACTGTTTACACCCACAGGGCTTGGAGCAGAGAGAGGCAAGCTCATCCCTTACCCAGTGTTTCACCCTTTCTTCCTCTACTGACTACCTCCTCCTCTCATCTTTTGTGATAAGGAGGCCAGCTGTGTGTTTCCATCCAAGTCTCAGTTACATCTCTGCCTACTTAGTCATGCCTATTTCTGTGTGCAGTTTAGATCCCAGAAGAATTATCTCCTTAAGAATAGGAGAAGGGTTCAGAGGAGTTTAGGGTTGTAAGAAATGTGTCAGAAGTTCTGAGGTTGGTCATCTGTTGGATGAGAAAAAAATGATTTTTTGTCAGGTCTACAAATTGGGTTTCAAATGATAAAAAATCCATTTGTGTCCATTTAACTATTAGGAAACAACTCTCTGGATACCTGGAAAAATATTGGCACTTAATATATTTCTTAATTATTCCATTTCTATTCCACCTAAGTCATAGTTTTCACCTCTAGACATTTTAGTGCGAACTTGAATACAAAACAAGCTTAGACAAAATTGACAAACTATTGGGACCAGCAGTTGGCGTAATGGCCATGTCACTGGACTCCCATGTAGCCGACTGCGGTTCGAGTCCCAGACTCAGTGGCTTAAACTCACGTCAGGCACATGTGCATGCATACCCAAGATCCCAAGAGGAGAATGGAGGAGAAGGGATTATGGCATGGCCATCCCCCCCAGGGGGTGATTTCTTGCTTTCTGTCTCTCTGTCACTCTCTGTCTTTCTGGTGAGCACACATCCCCTATAGCAAAAACCTCTCAAAAAAAAAAAAATTGACAAACTATTTTCTTAAAAACATTTCACTCTTCATTAACAGGCAACAAAAAACTGTGATCATACATGAATAGAATGTACTAGTGATTATGTATGTTTATAATATGATAACCCTTACAAGCCAATAGACAGCAAACTCCACTCTGTAGGTAATTTTCTGTTTGTTTTAACTAGGCAGCCCTTTGCAAAAACAAGTCACTTGACCAGAGTGTTCCGAAGTTTGTGCTTATTTTTTTTTCCTTAAGTGAATGAAAAATAAATAAATAAATAGCAACCAAGAAATGTTCTTTCAAAAAATATTTGCTGCCCAAGCAAATGGTGAGAAAATATGAGGAGTTGTTTATTTGTAGAAGCAGCGGGTTTCTTTTATACTTGAATGCTTGGGTGAATAAAATTTGAAGTGGTCTGTTTGCTTTAAGATTTTTCCCAGCTAATTGTTTTCATAATTCGTTTGAAAGTTTTAAGTTTACCATTTCATTTAACAAGGCATCCTCCTCATGCGTGGATATTTGAAACTAGGTTACAAAACTAATAGAGACCATTGTTTGTTTATAATAGAATTTTTTTTTTCCTTCTAATCAGCAAACCTTAAACAGTCTCTCCCCTAAGCTGGATCCTGTAGGTGGAGTGGAGTGTTTATTCTTTGTGCTATGTATTTATTACTTAAGACTAAAACCTCAAAAACAGGTTTTAAAAATCTTAATAGTATGATATATTGTGGAATAAAATAATATTTAAAACATTTTTAACATTAGAAAAAGCAGTTGAAATTTCTCAAGCTAAGAGATTAACAAGGAAAAATGTTATTATCTTCGAGTGTTTTTTCCTGTACTCATTTTTTTATGCACATAAATGAAATGTTCAGCCTTTCTCTGATTTGTTTTATTTGAAGAGGTCAACTGACCCAAGAGGCCATGTCATTTCATCCATTTAATGCAGGGACACAGTTTAGTTTAATTTGCTGATTTTGAAAACAATCACCTGCTGGTTTTTCTTTCTTTCTCCTTTTATTCCCCCAGAATATAATGTTGCTATATAACAAAACCAATAAAAAAAATTACTGTTATGTTTCTGATAAATTTTTTTAATAATGTTCATTTTAGCCAATTGGGAAAAAGGTAAGGGAGTTTTATAGTCAAAATCTGAAGCAGAGATCTACTCAGTTGTTTTCTATTTCAGAACTATGGTTAAACTGTAAAATGAAGCTTAAAATTAAGAGCTCACTTTGCTGAGTTGGCAACTATAGAAGTAGAAAGAAACAGTGCTAGTTTCTACCACAAGTCCTTACCATTTACATTCTATTCAAAGAATTCATTATCTAGTAGAACTTTCTAAAATGGCTCAGAAATAACTTGAACATATTGGTGAACACAATTTTGCCCCTTTGTTCAATTGTTTAATTGGCTTTGCGTAGATGAAGATCTCAATGGAAAACCCAACTTGCTCCTAGAGCAATGAAGTCCTTATTTTTCTGGAACTATTCTATACCAAAGTAAAAGAGAAATTTATTTATTTAAAATCATAATTAGTCACCATAGTCTCTTCTGTTTCTCTCTTTAATATCACAGACTCCAAATATCTTTTTGTTTTTTAAAGAAAGGTGTTTGAGATGCAACTTGAGGTAGCAGCTAAAAGCACAAATTTGAAGATGAAAGACAAACTTTTCCCCTACTGAACATTGACAAAATTTTAAGAAAAATCTCATCGTTTAGTACGAGGCATGACTTTATGATTTTTATTAGTTCATCGGGAAGTCAGGATGCATCTTTACATAGAAAACTATAGAAAAATACATCATGACTTTTCCCGACAACCTAATTGTCTTCTGTCTTGTTTTTGGTTGGTATTTTTGCATCTCATTTTCTACCCTTCCTCCCCAACAAAAACAAAGAACTTATTCAGTAGGCAACCTACTTCTCTTTTTTTCTTGTTGTAGCAAATCTTCCATATACTATAGGATAGAAGTGTTAGTCACTAAGTCAGAATTTTCATACTAAGACTATGATTGCCTTATTCTTCTTACTACTGTCTTACTCTTTTCCCTCTTCAATATGAATAATATTATAAGAATATGATTCTCATGTAGATGCAACCATAGTATTATTTTTAGAGCTTTCATAAGGCTAGTGCTATGAAGTATCCATTCAGTGATTTAATGCATATAATATGCTTTCAATGGCTGTATCTATTGCTCTGTGCCCAAAGAACCATCATCGACACAAAACTAACTATCTGTATGTTCTCGAATCACATTGTATATTCACCACATCTGTATCTATTGAGATGTTGGTGAAACATTGTTAGAAGAATTTTAATTTTTAATGTAAGTTTTCATAAAACTTTAGGTACTGTTAAATGTATTTCTTTATTTGAATAATGAGAACACATATTGATTGGGTCATAGGAAAATTCATGATGTATTTTTTCTGATTATCTGTACAAAAATGCATCATGACTTTTCCAACAATCAAACATTTTATATTTTTCCACTGCTTTGATATAAAGTGATTTAAAGATGTTCTGTTATCTAACCTGATTTAGTATTTTTCTTTACGAAAAAATTACTATTAAGCCCATGTGTGTCTCTTAAAACTTGTGTATGTTAATAATAAAAGCAGCTTATTACTACTGATTTTAGTGATCGAAAGTTATGGTATAATAAAAAAACAGCAATAATTTGTGAAAGTAGCCGTTTGAAAGCCCTTCTCAGTGTGAGCAAAAATCAACTTGTCAGTCATTATTTCCTACCCTCTGCCAAAAGATGAAAAAAACCTTAACAGTAGTTAGGGAGCTGCTGAGTTGAAATCTCCAAGGATGTTCCAATCTATTTGTTATATTTTCATCTACTCTGTCCACGATGAAAAGTGATGTGATCTTAACTTATTACTGACTGAAAAGCAGCATCCCGGGCTTTTCTGTAGTCCTTGTAATAGTTCTGACTAACCATGCTTAAAATCCAATTGCTATTTAAATCAGACAGTGAGGCCCTCTTTTATTGACATGACATTTGCTAGTCTGTGACTTGAATAGTTATATTCATCAGGTTCTTAACTTAGGGCAACATAGGCTATTTAACTCAAGATTTTTGAAATAGAAACTCGAGTAAGTGATGATGATAAGATGTTAGCTAAATTATCTCAGAGACTGCATAGAGTCAGGCTGGAGATTCAAAATAACTATTTTCTTAGAATTATATTTGTAACTTCTAGGATTATCAAACGCAGACATGCTGCTCACTCTTGAGTTGTGAGACTAGAAGTCACTCTATTGTCCATATTTAAATGTAACATTACACATCATGCATTCTGATAATTTTTTCTTTTTTTTTTTTTTAATTTCTTCTTTATGTTCTCACCACACCATTGTAATGTCTACAGCTCGCCCTGTTGGTAAGTAGCCATCTTCTACCCATTTCGCATGGCTTTGTATAATGCTTCATAGCTCATGTGTAGTAGGATTGGAAAGAATAAAAGATATTTATTCACCCATGTTAAACTATTACTCGAGGGATTGATTGTCTGCTCCCAAACAATCATTGTTTCTGATTTTTTCCTCGCTTTAACAAATTCTAGTTTCATTTAATAAACTGTAAGGCACCTAAGTTTAAGCTTTTTTTTTTTTTTAAGTTAATGGGGAAATTTTGAGATGTAATACCAATACTTTAGGATTTTGGTCTTGGTGTTCATGTCAAATTCTGAGGCCTTGACTTAAATCTTTCATTGTATTGTGATTTCCTTTTAGGTGTATTGCACTAAGTGAAACTGGTCACATAAACCTTCCTTTTAAAAATGAAAAAAAAAAAAAAAACACTTTTAGTGACTGTTGCTACACAGCAATGAGTAACGATTTTCATGTAAAAGAATATATTAATGATTAGTGTTATAAGCTACTACCTTTTTGTAAGGAGAAAAATACACTTTTTTATAAACATAAAATAATTATTAGTTATGTTTGATGTTAGTTAAGATAAAAGATGAACTAAATTAAGAAACTCTTACTTTATGCTCTTTTTAAAAAAAAATTTGCTATAGGGCACGTGCAGTAGCTTGAGGGAGAAAGAAAGAGAGAGAGAGAGAGAAAGAGAGAAAGAGAGAGAGAAAATGCTGAGTCACCTCTCCTCCCACCAGGGTCAATGACCATGCCACAATCCCTTCTCCTCCATTCTCCTCCAAGGATTTTTGGGCACACATGCATATGTGCTGGTGTGTTTTTCAAGTCTCAGGGTTCCTGACTCAAACAGCACAGTTAGCCACATAGAATCCAGTCACCTTAACCTCCACACCACCTGTTGACCCTCTGTACTTCTCTTTATAAGTAACTCAGAGTCCCAGCTTTGTAGGAGTAGTATTAACCTCTGCATACTTACTATGTGTCTACCTATTTAAACAGAATTAAATTGAATGCTTCAGGTTACTGTAGGTAGATCCTTACCCTAAATGGGCAAGAGAAGAAAAAGCTGTGATTTTTGGCATGAAAAGTTAATGTTAGTGATTTTAATATAGCTTATCCTTCTCTTGGCTTTGCAAACTTGAATAAGTTAGCAGCTTGCAGTTGCAGAAATTTTAAGTGGTGATTATTTGTAAACATTCGGAGGATAAAATTTTTTTATATTTATTGATTAATAATCTTTCTGCTTCTCCTTAAATGTTTATTTTTGTCCAGTGAGAAAGTGTAAAGAAATCTAGGTAATTCTAAGTAAATGAATAGACAGATGAGTGAATGAATGAATTCAGAACACTATTTTTTTAATATACCAAGAGATACTCTAACAATATATTCAACTCTAACCGCTTTATAATTGTCCTTCTAGCTTCAAATGCTTTCTTAATATACTGGCTGACCATTGTTGACATTTCATGGATATTGATCCAAACTCATGACATTTTTGCTCTCTTGGTTGAAACATTAATTTTGGTTTAAACTTCATTATTATACAGTATTTCCTTACGTGGTTAGCAAATAGAATAAATGAAACTTTGGTTTCCCAATCCGAATTTCTGATCTTTTCTGAGCAATAGTCCCTTTTGATTAATAACTTAACATCCCTAATCATTAGTCATCTCTTATATAAAATGGAGAGAATAACACTGACTTATCCAAACTATTGTAGGAATGTATCAAGTTTAAGATGGATCATATATGTGAAAAACGTTTTGGGTGTCCATATTGGCTATCATATTCCTCATTTCTGAGAAACATATTATTTTACATTTTAATATTTTTGCAATATAGTTTTGGTTTACAAGTAACTTAAACAGAACTGCAGCTTTATTTTTCTTGAAGCATAACTATTAAATCAATTGTGGTTTTTATGACTAATATTGTTTGTATGCTAAGGAAGATGTTATAATTCTTAAGTTTTATCTTCTATTTGTAACAAATTCTATTATTGATAACTTTACACATCTATGGAGTGGCATCTAAAATTAAGAAGAGAATGGAAAAGAATGAGGTGATCCAGAAAAAAACAGATGTTTATAGTAGGCTCCATGATCACTCTGTCAGAATTTCTTCCTCAACGAGATTTAAAGTCCAGAGATTGACTCATTTATGCAACAAATAGAAAAGCACTGCATGGAAAGATCTATATATACACTATATGTGATGCAATTACAGAATATTTATTTAAAAAACAAATTGTAAAATGTATAAAAATTAGTTTTTCATAATTTTTGATGACTAAGCAATAAAAACTTAACAATTTTAGTTATTTTAAGATATTATAAGGTATTAAACAGTATGATTTTTATGGTAAATATTTTAAAAGGTAGATAATTATGTGAGAACATTTGTCATTGAAAAGAATATCCAAAAACACAGGTTGGTTTAAAATTGGCAGCAATTGTAATGATAAGATTATGACTTTGGGGACCAGCAGTTAGTGTAATGGTTATGTCGCTGGACTCCCATGAAGTCGACCGCAGTTTGAGTCCCAGACCCGGTGGCTTAAACTCATGCCAGGCATGTGTGTATGCGTTCCCAAGATCCCAAGAGGAGAATGGAGGAGAAGGGATTGCGGCTTGGCCATTCCCCCTGAGGGAGTGATTTCTCGCTTTCTGTCTTTCTGTCTCTCTCTCTGTCTTTCTGGTGAGTGCACATGCCCTGTAGCAAAAACCTCTCCAAAAAAAGAAAAAAAAAATTATGACTTTTTAAGACAGAAAAAATGACATTTAAATTATACATCTTTATAAATAGAAAGCTTATGCCAGTATATCATGACTGCTTGATTTATTCTTCATAAGTTCTCAGAAAATAGGCCAATCTGTTAATAATTTCTAATATATTAAAAACCTTTGAACAAATAAAAAAGTACATTGATTTAAACATGTGACTTACACAGAGTATTGAGATGTATCTGTCACCACAAGACATTTCAAAACTTATTCCCATTTTTTTTATTCTTCTTTGAAATGATTTCTTAAATTCCCATTGGACTGGAACTAAAGAATAGCTTCTTGACACATTGTACTTTATTCTCAGAAAGTCTGTCATTTCATAAATCTGTCTCAAATGACTTATGACAATGTTCAGAAATATGAGGAACTATACTTTAAACCTGACAAGTACTATTAATTTTGGAAACTGAATGTTGGATACATTTTTATTGGATTACCAAAGAAGAAAGAACTGATAATGAAGCATTTTGCTTGCATTTTCTTAGCATCATCTTCTTATATTAATTTTAATACAGGACCTATAGATATTTGAATTTTCACTTTAGGGTCAGAAGATACAAGTCTAGTAAAATAATGAGATAAATATTTAAATAATAAAAATGACATTTTTATTAATTTTTCTAGTCATCACAAAAAGCAATCTTTCAATTTAGATGCTTTTAGTGTTTAGCTTTTTGTGATAGTACAAAAGTAATTCTACAAAGTAGAGATCACTGATACGTGAGAAAAAAAAACTTTTAATTAAAAAAAAGAATTATCATTAAGCTAAGAAATAACCACTAAATATATACATTGTAGGAAAATTCAGGAAATAGTCTACAGCTTTGAAAGAAAATTAGAAATCAATGCAGGTTCAGAAATACATATAGATTCAGAAACCAGTCACCATATTACTTGAGATTTCTTGATGGTCTGTGTGGAAAGCCCTCTTTAGAAAACATAAACTCTTGAAGTAGGAGTTTTGTCCAAGTGGATGACTCTTATGAGCTGCATTTTTTTTTGGGGGGGGCATATTTTTGCTATAGGACACATTTACTCACCAGAGAAACAGAGAGAGAGACAGAAAGCAAAAAATCACCCCCTGGGGGGATGTCCATGCTGCAATCCCTTCCCCTCTATTCTCCTCTCGAGATTTTGAGCACTCTCACATACGTACCCAACATGAGTTTTAAGCCACCAGGTCTGGGACTTGAACTGCTGTCAACTACTTGAGAGTCCAACCATGTAACCATTACTCCATCTGCTGGTCTCATGAGCTGCATTTTAGTTAAAGAATTTACAACTTTATGCCATTCACGGTTGGAATAAGTATTCTTTGCCTGTGCTTTTGATGTACTAGGGAAACTTGATTTAGACATTCCCTGGTGTCATGAGTATTACTGACAGCAAACAGTCACATACTTGCCAATAGAGGAAAGGTTTTCCAGATTTCACTTACTCATCTGCAATGTCACTAACATCTCCAAAAGAGTACTTTACCCCAAGTCTATATTTGCTGTTTAGCACAGAATCTAGACAAATGTCACTTTGATCATTAAAAATCCACTAGCTCTTACTGTGGATTTGGCTTTTTATTATTTCAAAGGCATTCCT